CTTGTCTTGACCTCCTAGATGCCAACAAATGTAGGAGAATGAAGGTGAAAAGTTGAAGTGGCAGGTAGGGATGTATTTTCATATATTTGCAGAAAAATTTCAACCTTTCCAAGGCCCAGGCACTGGTCATCTCTTGCTTTGGAATTGAACAGCCAAGATGGTGGTGGCCCCTTCTTAACTCCATGGATGTACAGCAAGGTCATGCATTCATAGCTCTAGGAGAGCTTGTTTTTGAGAACTCAGCACCACCACATTGAAGGATAAGGTGAGGCTCACCACATGGGACAGGCTTCTAGAATTTTATCTTGGTCCTGTTATTTGGACAGCTTTAAAAAGGCATTATTTCTGTGAATGAATGAGTCTATTATACCTATGGACTCATTGAATGAATTCAGTCTAAAAGGACCCCAAAGGAGGTATTTGCATATCTAAGCAAACAGTCTGCCAGATGTGAGTTGTGATTTATAACATTCCATCAGGCCTCCTTTGCCTGAGTTCCCAATGTGGTTGTGGTGCCAAATACATTGGAAGGGACTCAAATTCATTGCATTAATTAAAAAAAAAAGGCATTTTAGACTTTGCCAAGCATCTAAAGGGGCATCCAGGTGATGCAATGGATAGAGCACTGGGCCTAGAGTCAGGAAGACCTGAGTTCAAATCTGACCTCAGACAATTACTAGCTGTGTGACCCTGGGCAGATCACTTCACCCTGTTTGCCTCAGTTTCCTCATCTGTAAAATAAACTGGAGAAGGAAATGGCAAACCCCTCCAGTATCTCGGCCAAGAAAAAATAGGGTGATGAACAGTCAGATACAGACACAACTGAACAAGCATCCAAAGCCTCAGTCTACTGGGAATTGGGGGCAGTGCATTGTAGGTGGGGCATAGTGATGTTTGCCAGGTTTGGGGAGGGAGGCTGGAGCACCTCTGACAAGAAGAGCAATTCTCTTGGTGAGAAGAGTTTGCAGCTGATCTTGGGCCTGCTTCTGGGTTGGGTTCTTGTGCTTTTCAGAGCTGTAAACAAAAGCCCCTGAAACCTCAGCATCTTGGGAGAAAAACAAAAATGGTGCCAAACATCCCTGCCTCGGCTTGATAAGGAGCTAGATGTTTAAATTGCTCACCAACTAATTGAGACACTGGGTATATGTTTATTTTTGAAATGACTCTTCGGCAATTTTGCTTTTGTGATGTCATCCCGAATAAAACATTTGGACACGAACTAAAATCCTTTCCATTTAGCGAGGATCTCTGACTTGCCATTAAGCCTGGGGAAGCTAGCTTAAATAGCAAAGTGGGGTGGGAAGGCCAGAGAATGTTTTCCAATCCCTCATTGAAGGCTCCACACAAAAGACTTAGTAACAAAAATCAAAGAATAGAATTGACAATTCCTTTAACTCTTTGAAAAATAACTGCTCATTCCTCTTCCAAGGAGAGCCAAGGTCAATTAGGCTGTGGGTGTGGGTGTGGGTGTGCTTAAAAGAATGTACCATTTGAGAAGAATATTAAGATTTGAGTCCAAGTCTTGTCTCTGCCCAGCATGATCCTGGGCAAGTCACTTAATGTCTCTGAGCCTCAGTTTACTTATCTGTAAAATGGAGATAATCATACCTCACCTCACAGACTTCCTGTGAGACTCAAATGAGAGCGTAGGTAAGGTGCTTGCAATTAACCAATCAATTCATGTATCCACAGGCATTGGCAGCTCTCTGCTATGGGACCAGGAACTAGGCTGGGTGCTGGGGATACGAAACCAAAAATGAACGATTTATAGGATCGTAGATTGGAGATGGAGAGGACCCTGCCCTCAAAAGTGGTATCGTTCGCTAGAAGGAAGCAACATGCTGTCAGATAAGTAAGTAGAGACTATGTAAAAAATACAGTCAGTCAATACACTTTTATTAAGTGGCCCCTTTGTGCCAGGCACTGTGCTAAGCACTAGGGATAAAAAAAAAAAAAAAAGGCCATAAGCTGTGATTGTTGGGTGGGGATGGGAGTGCCATTAATAACTGAGCAAATCAAGAAAGGACTTTTAAAGGCTGTCAAACTCAAACTGACAAAGAACATTCTAGGCCAGGGTGGGTGTGGGAGCAGGAAGGCATGAAAACAGGAGATGGTCCATCACATATAGAAAAGCTTCAGTATAGCATTGCTTGTGTAAAGGGGAGTAATTTATAAGTAGCCTGGAATGATAGACTGAAGGGTGACCCTACTGGGATTTAAGCACCCAAGAGAGGAGAGTGTATTTTATCCTAAAGGAGATGGGGAACCACTAATGTGGGGAAGTGACATGGTCAGATCTGTCCTTTAGGAATGGCAATTGGACAACTGGGCAGAGGATGGATTAGAGAAGCCAGGAGTTGGATGGCCTTGATAACAGCCTAGGCCAAAAGAGATGAAGGCCTCAACCAGGATGGTTGTAGTGCTGGAAGACAGAAGGGGATGGAAATAGGAGATGCTGAGGATATAGAATCAACGTGACTTGACAGTTGGATGTTGGGGTGGGGTAGGGTGAGTGAGATTGAAGAGTTGAGAATGACGTCTAGGTTGTGAACTTGACGACTAGAAGAAGGATGGCACCCTCAACAGAAAGAGGGAAGTTAGGAAGTGTGTGAGTTTAGGGGGAAAGAGCTTGTTCAGTTGTGGACATATTGTTTGATACGCCTATGAGGATCCAGGTGGAGATGTCCAGTGGGTAGTGGATTATGCAGTATTGAGGCTCAGGAGAGAGATGAAGCAGAGTTAAGAGTCATCTACATAGAGGTCAGAGCTGAACCTATGGGAACTGATGAAATCAGAGACTGTAGAGAGAGAAGAGATGGCCCAGGACATACGAAAGGAACCACCACAGATCACTGTCACAAAAACAGAGGGAGGAAAGAGTTTCCAGGTAGGTGGTGAGGGAGGGATAACAGGGCTAAATGCTAGAGAGAAATCAAAGACTGAGAATAGTGGCCACTGAATTTAGCAGTAAAGATATTATTGGCATCATTGAGAGAGACAGGCAGAGACACCGAGAGACAGAGACAGAGGCCAGAGACAGACAGAGAAAGGGACAGAGAAACACAGAGAGAGACACACAGAGAAAGCAGTTTCATTCAGGTGGTGAAGATAGAAGCCAAATTGCAAGGGTTTGAGGAATGAATGGAAGGTGAGAAAGGGGTTCACATACATTACAGCATTATCTGAATGACAGTTGTTAATCACCAGGCATCTCTGCAATACTGTTAGCAGTACAATCATAGAGCAAGGGCAATACGACCTTTCATAACTTAAGGGCTATTCCTAAGTATTGCCCCTGGTCCAAGGGCCACCCCCTCTCTCCTGTTAATTTGGGATCAGGTGGACCAGGCTCAGTCCTAGGGGAGCATGATGCCAGAAAGAGGGGATTTAGGCTTTTCCCTTGCACTCTGGCTCATTAATCTCCCAACTCTGGAGTCCTGGGGAAGTTTTCTTAAACAAAACTTAAGTATTGCTCATATGTAAGGTCTCCCCCAAAGATGGCCCCTTCCAGAAAGACACTTATTTTGTACAGTAGCAGATTTCAGGTATAGGACAGTTATTTATTTCCTCTATACACCCCCCCAATCCTTTAAGCTCCTCCCAAAAAACTGTAACAGCACATTAATACTTAACTTAAAACAAATTATATCCTATGACTCCTATTATATTTTTTGTGGGACCACAGATCACTTTCATCTCAGTAACTTAAGGTCTGGTCTGGTCATGCCCAGGGCATGGCTCATCCTCCCAGTAATGGTCATCATATCCTTTGAGAAGAATATCTTTGGAAGAAGCACATCCTGCCAGGCAACTAGTACCCAATTAGCATGTTCCAGGTCCAGACCTATCAAACTCATGAGTAGCAGCTCAGGCTAGAAACACCCATCTCTTAAGACTGCTGTTTACTCACCTGTTCTTAGGGAAAGAAATAAAACAGAAGAGGCAGCTGAGGACTTGAAATACAGCCTCAGGTGCACTCAGGAGGGCACATGTTCTCACTGCTGTGTGCTTTTGGTAGCCCTAGCCTCAGTCTGGGAATTGGAAGGAGAGAAAGCCCCTCTCCTCCCCTCACTAGAAGTCCATGGGAGCTGGCCAGTCCTGGGTGGCATACTTGGACTCATTTCCTGTTATAGCTTGTTTCATGGGTGACTCAGTGGTCAGTCTTTTGACACAGTCCCTTCCCAGGCCTAAGGGATTGACCAGGAGATGTTGGTTGTGAATATCCTTTAGCAGGGGCCAGCGCACATGGGGTCTATTGGAAGAGCCTCGGTGTGTGTCCAGCTCCATGGGAGACGCTCCAGTTCAGCTTCCTGTAACAGAAGGAAAAAAAAGACTCACCTCTTCTTCTCCACTTTATATATTTTCCCTTCTCCTTGTGGCCTCTCAGTGTCACCTCCAGTTCTGAAGGCAGATGTTTGGATGCCTGGATGTATGGGCATTTTCCCTTTTCATGTTGCTCTAGCCGTTGGTCAGCAGGGACCACAGTAGCCGCTGGGAGGGTTTGGTCAAAGAGAATGGTGGAGGGGGTTGAATGTTCTTGTTTTCAGGAAGCCTCTTTGCAAATGAAAGGACCAACACCATCATTCCCACCAGCAGCAGCAGCAACAGGAACCGTACTTAAAGACGTCAGCAGAAACCCTGATAGGAGGGCAATGGAGAGGAGAGCCCTCATGCTGTAGGCTGACTCTAGCTGCTGTCCTAGGTCTCACCTTAAACAGTGAGACAGAGAAAGTCACTACACTTGTGTGCATACACCTCCCCCTCTTCCATTTTAGTGGTAACATGTGCTTAAATGAGGGGAGTCCTTACTGGTCCCTTCCTTACTGTGTCCTGATTATCTATGGCCCAGGAATCCAGTGGCCCCCGGGGATTCCTGCTACCTTGGTGAGCCTGTGATTTTATCAATGCGGGCACCCTTGCCATTGGTATAGAGAGATCACAGCTGATCCATGGCTTCTTATCTCATTGAGCTCTTATTCATGGTCTCCCAAATATCTTCCATGGGGGCTTCACGCAGTATGTTGGGAACCTTCCTCTAGGCCAGTGGTGTCAAACTCAAATAGAAATGGGGTGCTATGACATCATTCATAAGGGTATTTACTCATGGGCTTCACGTTGACCTAATTTTAAAATGTTAGGTTTGGACAGCTAGATGGTACACTGGATAGAGAACTGGGCCTGGTATCAGGAAGACTCGTCTTCCTGAGTTCAAATCCAGCTTCAGAAACTTGCTAGCTGTGTGACCCTGGGCAATTCACTTAACCCTGTTTGTCTCAGTTTCCTCATCTAGAAAATGAGCTGGAGCAGGAAATAATGGCAAACCACTCTGGTATCTTTGCCAAGAAAACCCCAAATGGGGTCACAGAGAGCCGGACATGACTGAACAACAGCAACATTACTTACATTTTATTGTATTTGTATTTATCTTGTTAACTATTTCCTAATTACATTTTAATCCGGCTCCAGCTACACTCAAGAGGGGCTGCGTGTTTGACAGCCCTGCTCTAGGCCACAGGACATCGTGTGTCTGCCAAATGGATCTCACAAGCTATAAACAATTAAGACTTCAATGGACTAATTAGTCTGTGGATGTGGGCACTCCCCCCTGCGGTGCACATTGTAATGCATTCATACTGTTTCATCTGTGAGGTTCTTTTCTGTGTCTATCTATGAATCCTCCATAGATAAATAGGGTTAGGGCTACTCCAGGGCGGGGCCATACGCTTTTCCACACCACATTTAGGCTAAGGAAAGGGCGCATGTACCTACTGGGCAGTTGTAGGAGGAGAAGCAGACAGGGAAGTGCATTTCTGGATGAGGATCCACACTCTTTCCCTGACAACCAAGTTTGTCCTGGGCACCAGAATTCCTTGCTATGGCTAGGATGCCTGTTACTGCAGTATAGGCTTCATTGAAAGGTGATATGAATCGTGTTGTAATCTTGAATATGTTAATGATTTTGCCATTTGTTAAGCCAACAGAATCTTATATAATTTACATCTTTCAAATGAACGAGATACCTCAAGTTCATGACAAGAGCGTGGGGACCGTGTGGTTTGTCCAACTGGCAAGAGCTAGTCACACAGATGATATCTTATTTTGCTCTAGACTTTTTCATAAAAATCATTTTTAGTCCTTTTCCATCAATACTCAGACTCTATCCCTACATCCTGAGTTGCAGTGACCCTCTACCTCTCAGTAGTAGAGGCATGTAAAACTGGTCACTCTGCCATCTATTTTTAAACCAACACCCTCCAAGGGCTCATTTTTTATACATCAGAAATACCGAAGCCTCCAATAATAACAAAGAAAAGTGGCAATGAATTTCTCAGATAGGAAATAGCTGACGAAAGGAGTTATCAGGAACAAAAATGAGGATTCTGGGTCTGCAACATACTCTGTGAATATTTACTCCGAAGATTGGCTCTGCTGGAAATCTGAGACAAAATTGATCTCATTTTGTGAACTAGTAACATTATATATCCTACATTATGTAACTCTCTAAGGCAACTCTCTATGCTATAACTCTCTTAGGCGTCTGTTGGATGGCAAGTTGAAGAGAAGGTGCCAACCTGCATGAGTGAGGGCATGACCTTATCCAGGAGTTCTCTAAACCAATGACATCACATAACCAGTCCTTCTCCCCTATCCTTAGGTACTAACTCTGTGTTCCCTTTCATCTCCATTGTATGCATTTCTCTGAACCCACATGGTTTACCTTCTCAACCTAACTCATCTTATATGTACTATCCTCCCTTTCTGGTTCACCACTTGCCATCAGATCTTTAAATGGCTCCCCACTGAAAATGGATCAGGTGCCATAAATGGAACACTAGACATGGAGTGGGGAAGAGCTGAGTTCAAACTCAGCCTCAGACACTGATGTGCTGGGTGACCTTGGGTAACTCAACCACTCTCAGCCTCAGTTTTCTCCTCTGTAAAATTGGAATAATAATAGCACCTACCTGCCAGGGTTGTTGTGAGGCTAAAATACAAACCTTAAAGCTCTATACAAATGCTAGTTATTATTATTAATTAATCTCCCCCTGAAAAATCCATACTCTTTAGGGTGGCACTCAAAGTCTGCCCTCTTTTAGGGTTGATGTGGTAGAGCAAGAAGATCATGGGGAGTCAGAGTCAGAAACCCTGGGTTCAAACAGCAAGTCATTCCATGTGTGCCTGAGCCTTAGTTTTCTTTTCAGTAAAATGGACATAATATTGTCTGCATTAGCTACCTCAAAGGCTTGTTATGAGGAAAGCACTTTGTAAGCTGCCACATGCTAAATAAACATGAACTGTTATTGTTATTTGGCCCCAATCTATCATACCAACTGTATTTATCTTTCCTTAGCATCCTCTGTTTGGTTCCATTTCCATACCTTCACTCCATCTGATTTCCCACCCCCTAATTTTTTGTCTCAATCTATCTAATTCGGGGGGCAGCTAGGTGGCACAATGGATACAGCACCAAGCCTGGAGTCAGGAAAACTCTTCATGAGTTCAAATCTGGCCTCAGACACTTACTCGCTGTGTGACCCTGGGCAAGTCACAGTTTCCTCATCTAGAAACTAAGCTGGAGAAGGAAATGGCAAACCACTCCAGTTTCTTTGCCAAGAAAACCCCAAACGGAGTCACAGAGAAATAGATGTGACTGAAAACAGCTGAACAACAACAATCTAATTTTTATCCCTTGCTCATCCACCAGAAGTCTTCATGGACCACACCAGACAATGTTGCTCTCTCCTTACTTTTAACGTCCTTGATCAAGTTGACAAGCATTTTTTAAGCTCCCACTGTATGGCAGGTATTGGGCTAAGCACTGAGGATACAAAGAAAACCAAAAACAATCCCTGCCCTCAGGGAACTCACACTCTGGAGGAGGAATGTGCAAATAACTGTGTACAGACAACACACAACCACATATGATTTGAGGATAATCCCAGAGGGAAATCACTAGCTTTAAGAGGGTCTGAGAGAGGCTTCTTGTAGAAGGTGGGATTTTAGCTGCAACTACATCCCTGTGTATCATCCACAACCCCAGCCCTGGGAGACTGAGGCTGGCAGGTCACTTAAGTTGGGGTTCTGAGCTGTAGTGGATTATGTTGATTTGGTGTCTGCACTAAGTTGAGCATCAGTTTTGGTCAGCCCCCAAAAGCAAGGTCGCAAGGTTGCCTAAGGAAGGGGAGAGCCAGCCTACAGCTGGAAACAGAACAGATCAAACCTCTTTTGCCAGTCAGTGGGATCAAGTCCCTGCACTTCTAGCCTGAGCCAAATGGGGAGACTAGATCTTAAAAAAAGGAATTGGATCATAAGATCATAAGTTTATAGTTGGAAAGACCCTAAACCCTACTACACTTGTCTAATTTTGTAGACTGAGGCCCAGAGCGGGAAAGTGAAGGTCATATAGATACTAAGCAGCAGTGCTGAGACTCATAGTACTCAGGAATGGATTCACAAGAGAGCTGTCTTAGACATCAAGTCCAACCCACTAATTTTACAGATGGAAACTGAGGCCAAGAGAGGCTAAGTGACTTGTCTAGGGTCACAGAGTTGATAAGCATCTGAGGCAGGATTTGCACTCAGGCTTTCCTAGCTCTAAATTGAACCATCTATCCAAGATACCATACTACCCCCCCATTGGGATTGTAGTAGTTACTCATGGAGAGAGGGTTAAGAGCTAGAGAGACTCCCTGTAAAGGGAGGGAGACAATGATAGCCTGCCTTCTGATGGCTCTGGAAAAATTCGGCATCTCTTCCATCATGCTTGCCTTCTAACATCTCTGAAGAGAAGCTACAGGAAACCATAGGAGAGAAGCATAAACAGGATTATGGCCCAGCTTGCTGAGGCACCTGGCTAGCATCAGAAGAGCTGGGTTAGAACTTTGTGCCAATGACTTACCAGCTGGGAAGCTTCCAACAAGTCACTCCTTACATGGGTGTCATTTGTAAAATGAGACATTTGGGCTAGATGGTGTCTCAAGTACTTTCTACCTTCATCTGTGTTTAGAGCTAGAAAAAAGACCTTAGAAATGATCTAATCCAAGCCTCTCATTTTATAGAATAGGAAATCCTGCTAACGAGAAAGGTTAAACGCCAGGGTGTCATAGAATCATACTTTTAGAGCTGTAAGCATAAAATTGTACTAAGACTTTTGAGACACCCTGTATAGAGAGATAGGCATAAACTAGAATCTTAGAATCCTATAGTCTTAAATTTTTAAAAGAACCTTAGGGGTCATTTAGCCTAATTTGCTCATTTTATAGATGAGGAAACTGAAGCCCAGAGAGAGAAAAATGGTTATTAGTCAGCGGTGCTTTTTCTGTGCCGTTATTTTTCCTCCCATTAGCATTTTTTCCTGTTCTGGCCTTTCCATCACCCCTTGAGATTGCTCAGGAAATGGGTGAAATAAACTGGTCCCTACTATCACCTTTCAGGTAGAGCAGTGGATAGAATGCTGAGCCTGAAGTCATGAAGATTCTTCTTCCTGAGTTCAAATCAAGTCTCAGACACTTACTAGTTGTATGACCCTGGGCAAGTCCCTTAACCCTTTTGACCTCAGTATCCTCATCTGTAAAATTAGGCGAGTAGAGTAGAGGCCTTCAGAAGTCCAATCCAGCTGCAAATCTGCGATGCTATGACTATTGAGATTTAATTCAACAGTCCAGCTCTAGGATCTACTTTGCAAAGCACTGCCCTTAGAACTGGGGATACAGAGCCACGAGCTAGACAGTCCTTACCCTCCAGGAGATGAGTTGTGGAGGATTCTGACCCAAGGCTATAACCATATTGGGACATTTAGGGGCATTTCCCCCATGCATAGTCGGTCTGGCCCTGGCTAGAACTTCCCCTTCCTGAAAGTAAGATAGAAGAGGGTGAGGGAGACACTGAGTAGTGATGGGAGGGTTTAGTCCTTTCCATTGTGGGGTTGGTATTTCCAGAGCAGTACCAAATACTGTGCATTCTTAGACTGCGGCTGTCACTGCTTCCCCATCTCATTCTTAGTGAAGGGGAAAGAG